TGGGAACATTAAACAAACATCACAGCCCTCACTAATAACATTGTGACTTTGCTGTCAAGTGTAGAATCCTTCCTTCAAGAAAAAGCTTGTGACCATTTTGTATGGCTTGTCTGGAAACTTCTGTAAATCTTATGTTTTAGTAAAATATTTTTTGTTATTCTACTTTGCCTTTGTACAGTTTATTTTACTGTGTTTATTTCATTTTCCCAATGTGACAATCGTATTTAAAAATTAAAACTGATGGAACATTCTCTTTTGGTCTTCACCATCTGACAAATTGATCCGGCAAGAGGTGGATTTTGCCAGTGTCTTTTCACTGATGCAAACTTGTGTTAAGATGTCACTGAATGGAGTATTTATAAGCTGGCCCTGAGCATGCATAAAGCGTCGGTATTTGGTATTTTTTTTACCTCCTAGAAATTTGAATAAATGTGTTTGTGTTGTCTGATTAGATGATCATAGGTGTCTTGCCATGATGTTTGAAACTTACTGTACAGGAGAGTCACAGCAAAGCAGCAGTTGTGACTGACTTTATGTAGGACTCACATGTTGTGCCACATTTGTGTGTCTGGCATTTGGGATATGACCTTTTGCTTAGTTCTTGTCTGGAAACTTCACGTGTAACCACTGGTATGTGCTACTAGGAAACACCAATCTGATAATCATTTGGGGTTGCTGAGGCACTTATGAGTCTTCCTTATAAGACCTGATGAGCAGATCTCAAGCAGCCAGCTTGCGTAAGTGTCATCTGAAAGGTTTCTTCCTTTGAGAGTATCAGATCCTCACTTAATGATTCTTTCATCCTTCAGTATTTGCTATGGGAGCTCCTCTTGTTTGATACTCAGTAATTTTTTTCTGCATTGACAGAATTCCTCCCCTCAAAAAACTGTTCTTTCCCACCCTTCTCCGTATCGAATTCCCTATCCTTGTTCTTTGTAAGTCATCAGTGTAGCCAGTCCTAAGTATGTAAATGTTAACCCGCAGGTGGGAACCTTTGTCTCTCGCAATTTAAGGTAATGGATATTGTAGCCCGTCTGAATTTCCCCCACTCTTGATTCTCTTAACTTCTGGAGTTTCTTCAGAATGTGGTGTATTTTATTGTGCTCCTATGTAAGATGAAGAATTATCTATTAAAATTACATTTTCAACATACGAAAGTTTTTGATGAGTGGTAACTGGTATCCTTACAAATAAATGCATTGATTGGAAACAAATGTTAGTTTAATTCAGAATAAAATTGTTCGTAACCTTAACGTTGTAAAGTTAAAGCTCTTAAGAGCAGTTGACATTTATAACAGTTCTTGTGCTGTAGAGGGTGTTTGCAATTAAGGAAACTGAATCGCATTCTGGGGCCAAAATGAACACAAGCAGTTGCGTAGAGATGAGCTTTATTTAGTGCAGGTGGCACTACTTGTGATGATAGCTAGTATCACATAGTGATTTGTAAGTCCTAAAATTCCAGATTTAAATTCATTGTACCACAAAATATGTCTAGAATAGGACTCTTATGTCTACTTATTTGAGTTCTAGAAGTCCTAAAGTGGAATAATTCACTGTTTTTATTTCAAATGTTTTGTTTCCTGATTTTATGGCATCCTGTTTTTTCCTTTGTAATTTTGTTAAGAGCCCCCATTGTTTTGATAAGACTCTTTCTCAACCAGTGGGATGAAATGAGCCAGTTTGTTGGTTGAATGTGTTTAGGATTAAAGGAGCTCTGGGAGAGGCCAGGATAGATTCCCAAAACTGGCAGCTACCTCTGGCTTTTGGGCCTTTTCCTTGGCCCACAAAATGTGATTGGTTAAAACACTCTGAATTCAGTGCCAACATTTTTAAAAATCAGGAGATTCACGTGACAAAAAATCCCAAATTCTGGTAACTTAATGATGTGAAGATCTGGCAACTGCAGCCATGCCCAGCGTTTGTGCATAGCACCCTTTACCTTCCGGGAGGAAGCAGCCTCCAGATAAGAGCGCATCTCTCCTCGTTCAGGGACTCTGCTTGCCTCGAGTCCCCTTCCAGGCCTGCTTTCTCCTTTATGTAGTCCTCTTCCCTTATAAGCCTTTGATTTTGTAACTCCTAAGCTTAAGGGAACAGTGAATTTGACAAAAGTATTCTATGTACCCAACACTACCGCTTGGGGATGATTAAGTGAATGAGATTGGCATGCGGCTTTTCCTGTGGCCCTTCCAATGGGGGGCGGGGGGGCACAGACAAACTGCAGTTGCAACTCTGTCCTGGAGCAGGGAAGGAAGTACTTGGGAAGGGCCGCTCTTCTGGATTCCAGCCAGATGAACACCTCTAAGGTGGAGGAACACCATGTGCAAAGCTCTGGGGGAGAGGAAAAGAATCTGAGTATGTAAGTGGCTTCTTGAGAAACTCTTCTGCCCATTAGGAGCTTCTCTGAAATCCTGAGGCATTGACAGGAGCTTTATGTTTATTTGGTTTTCTGTTTTGTTGTAGTATACTTTGTTTCCACACTAGTTATTCTTGGTCCTGCCTCATAAGATCTTAGGTCCACAGTGTGTAGAACTTAAACCCTGCTCTAGACCAAGAAGATACTTTAATACAAAATTTAAAAAGCATTTAAAAATAAGCTTAAATACAAACTGATATTTAAACAAGCCACAGGTGCTGTGGAGAGTACTGGAGGAAATCTAGTATCCTGCAAGACACCATAAACACATTAGCGAAATGGAACTGTTGGTGTCCTAGGAATGATAGAAATTGTCTTTATTTTCTATTTGATGGTTCAGGAATCTTTTGGGGGGGGGCTATTCTAGCCATATCACTTTTTGTTAGTTGCAGTAGCAAAGGTTTTAAAAAGTTAGCCTTATCTGGAAAAGCTGGCCAAAAAACAAATAATTAAATGCCATGATTATAGGGCAGCTAATTCATCAGTCGATTTAAGAAAAATGCAATATCTCATTGGAATAATTATTTTTGGGCTGGGGTAACATTTCATTTAGCTATTTAGCATGCTGCTTAGGTTTAAGGAATTATATCAGGGGTTTATTTTTTAAATGATATTTAATGATCACAAAAGCAAAACATGTTGAATGTAATAACTTGAAAAATACAAAGAATAAAAATCTGTAATCTTCCACCCAGCCTGGTGATACTTGTTTCGTTAACTATATGCCCCTGTGTTAATTTCCAGTTCTCCTTGATTTTGGAAATTGGGAGGATTTGTTCCAAGGGTTAGCTTTGGTACAGCTTTTTTACAAATTGGGTAAGTTCTTATTGGCAGCAAAACTAGGATTGGGCTACGGGTTTTTCCTTTTAGGTGTAGAACTTCACATGAAGAGTGCCCGTCCTCCTTCCTCTCCCCAGTTAACATCTTTGCCGTACTTCAGTTGGTCTCATTTCATCTGTGCCTGTTGGTGTGGCATTTCAGTTATGTGGATGTAGAATGCTACACAGCCAAGCCCCTACTGACTAGATAAAATTGTTTCAGTTTCTGATTTGGTTGTAGAAGCAGAATAATTGCCTTAAATCGACCTTGTTTATTGTCTCCTAGCAGAGTAACAACTGAAATCTCATCATTTAAAATACGTTTTGTGGTGTTCATTAAGGAGCTTTTTACATTTTTCCTCTGCTAATCATTTGTATCTAGGGGACGAAACAGGTCTTAGAAGTTAGAAAGATTGATAACCTCACCTCATTTGTAGAGAGTACCTAGCAGGTTTCTTTTTTTACATACTCTGATCCATTCTCACCCACCATATGACTCTTTTGAAATAGTTCCATGATCTAGATTAGTAAATCCCAATTAAATCTCATTATAATCTAGCAAGTTTACAAAGTATTCTGGCTGAAATTCATGAGTAGACTAGAGGCTCGTCAAAAGCAGTTTAGGTAAGGTAGGTTGGTTGCACTAGATTTGAACTTGGTGCTGTTTCTTTGTTTTGGGAGGAAGCATTAGGACTGAGTAACCAAGGGAATGAATAGGGCCAAAGTCTTACAATCTTTTTTTTTTCCTTCTAAAACACTAAATATTTGGGGCTCTGTGGTCCATGGGTCTGTCCACGTTACTCGCCTCTGCCATTGTTGGTGAGAAAGCGTCCATAGACAATTTTAAATGGTTGGACATGCAGTGCTATGATAAAAGTTTAATTTTCACAGGTCACAAAATATTTTCAACCACTGAAAATGTAAAAAAATCTAAGTTTGTGAGCTGTACAAAGAGGTGGGGTCTAAGGTTTGTCCTGTAGGCTGTTACCCACCCCCTTGGCTGTGATTGATTATTCACTGCTCTTGTATTAGAACCAAATGTCTCTCCTTCCCCCTCCTTCAAAAAGTGATACATTACTGTTATTCCAATAACAAAGATGGTGTAGGTTTCCTTTTCTCCCTTTGCTGTTAATATACATATTTTGATAGTATGCACAGATTGAGTATTTATCAAGCCCAGTTTTTTCATGTGAGATTATTAAACATTTTCACACTGAA